TAAACCCTTACCACACTCTTGCAATATTCTAAACAATGTTTCTAAACTCTAAACGCTCTAATAGAGCACAGAATGTCATGATTTCATCCCCCTCTTTGCCACGTGCAAATGCTCTTGGCCACGCCCACTTCACCACTCTGCACGGAGTTCAGCTGCAGCAGGAAGTTGATCCTGCAGTATGGGCTGCTCAAAGGTGCAGGAGGTGCTAAATACTTAAAAATAATTTACTTTAAATAAAAAGGGGTTCACAGACCATTGTTGGAGCTTTGTTGTTCCTCGTTTCTATGCCAACCATTTTGTCTGAGCTTAGAGACTTTAGAAAGAGCGGATATCAGAGCTCTGACTTCTTGTTATGAGACTACTGCTTCCTCTCTGGTCAACACTTTGATTTGGCAGAAGTACATATGTACATTTTAACATGTCTATGTTGACATATTTTTACTAATTCACTACACCACACAGTGTTACTTGTTTTTATGAATACTACAGATGTTCATTCATCCCTCTTTATCTTCACTCTGCAACATTCTGATTATTACTTTCTTCTAAAACAGAGGTACAACCAAGTGAACGAGAACTTCCTGAAGAGTGACCACCCTGCAGTGGCTCGCACCAAACCCCGCCTGTCCTCACCCTTTCCCATCGCCAACCCCTCGTTTGGCTCCCCCCCTCTTCCCAGCGCCCTCACCTCCTCCCCGCTGGGCCCTCCTCACCGGGGTCAGAGGCCTGGAGAGCCTAGGCAAGAGTCACACACACAGGAAGTCATGAATTCGTTTAACGAGTACATCATTCCCATCCCGGACCCGAAGCCAGAGGAGGTTTTCACCGACGTGCCTGAAAGTCCTGTAAGGTACGGAACCAAAAGAGCTGGTCCAAATACGAACGCTGCATCAGAGCTGAATGTGTACCTGCTTAACCAGAGCAGTTTTTCCCCACCACACACCCACTCATCCAGATGTTGAGCTGAAACAGTGGCTGTATTATGTAGGTGGAAACAGAGATGTGTTTTTATAACTTAAACACGTAGCCAAGCAACGACTTGAAACAACAGAGTTTTAGCTGCATGGATGTTAGGAAGCATGTGATTACAACTCCGAACAGATGTGCTTTATTATTCATTAAGCAAGCCCTTTAATTAGGGCTGATACTGATACTTTTGGACAGTTTGGTTATTATTCTGCTTTAAAAGCTCACAAGTTTTACTTTTAACTTAACTGTATTGTTGTGAAGTCTTTGTCCCCGTATGCGAGAAAACAGACTCAAACAGTTTTGTTTTTTTAATTATTATTATTATCATCACAACCATCTGACGCAATAATCCTAAAGTCTTACCATATAAATTCCCTTTACATAACATTTATTTTACATTTAATAACACATTTTAATTTTCTTTACTAAAGATCTTTGATGAGTACAGCTGTTGGACAATGTGTATGGTTAAGGACGTATAAACCATGTTTTTATTATACATTTATGGTAAAAAGAAGTACTGTATTGTTCGGACTATAAGGCGCACCTAATTATAAGGCTCACCGTAGATTTTTGAGAAAATTAAAGGATTTTAAGCTCGCCTTATAGTCCGAAAAATATGGTAGTCCGCTCACTTTAAATTCTGGTTTTACATGTCAGGACATGAACAAATTAATCTGGTGTTTACCAGGTTTTAAAATGATTCAGATCGAACCTCAAGTGTACAAAAGATTCCTCCATGTCACCATTTATTCAACAAAAACAACCCAGAGTTAAAAAGCTCTGTGTGGGAAAACTAAATCTATAATCTAATCTAATTTATGATTTAAGATGTAAAGTATCAGCCAGGTGCAGCTGGTCAAAATGTATTGATCATTATCTATGTGAGCGCCGCTTTTAAAGCAGGAGTTTCATCTGTTTGCTGCTCAGGAGCAAACAGGTGTGTGTTAACACAGTGGCAAGATGGAAAGACAACAGCAATGAGCTTAAAGAAGCAACTGTTGCCGCCCATCAGTCAGGGAAAGGTTAAAGGTAATTTCCAAACAATTTGGAGTCAATTAAATGAAAAAATGTCAAACCTTTAAGACACCAGTTACTTCAGAAGTGAACATTTCAGCCAGTTCATCCCGACGTCTGGCCCTGCAAGGCTCAGAGAAGTTTCGTTTGGACAGATGAGCTCAAAGCAGAGCTGTTTGGTCAAAATGACAGGGTCATGTTGGAAGAAAACCAGATGCAGCTTATCAGCACAAACACCTCATCCCAACTGTCAAGCATGGAGGTGGGCGATGATCTGGGCTTGTTTTGCATCCACAGGATTGAGTCAAGTCCAATGTAGACCAAATGATTCTGGAGTCAAATGTGAAGTAAATTCTCCAACAAGGGAAACTTCCTGAAGCAGAGCAGTGATCTCAAATATAAAAACTCTGCAACAGAACGTCTGAAAAAGAAAAAAATGAAGTTGTTGCATTGATCAAATTAAAATCTAGACTTGAACCTGACTGTGACGGGACCTGAAGAGGGCTGGGCAGAAACAAATGTCTGCAAACCTCAAGGAGCTAACGCAGCGTTGGAAAGAAGAGTGGGTCAAACTCCTCCACAAGGCAGAAAATCTCTACTGAGAGTTATTGATGTTGAAAGAGTTCTGCAGGCCAGTGGTGATTTTAGCCTCTTTTGGGGGGTGCTCAAGCACCCCTAAATTTTAACTTAACACCCCTGAAAAATTAAGAAACCATCATTAGAATTTTGTACGGAAACTCAGTTCTCAAACCTTAGATTCACCAAAATATTGAATAAATTTGGACAAGTCAGATCCTCAACTCCACCTGTCAATCAATCCTGTAGACTTGTCAGCAACTGACCAACCAGCAATCTCGATTTGTCCCGAAGTGGTTAGGATGCATGAGAGAAATGGAGAGCTACGTCTGTAGCATTTTAGCTAGCGCATCTGCGCTGCAAAACAGTTGTCAACTGGGGGTGGGGGGTGGGTGTTAGGATGCCTCAGAGAAACAGAGCATGCTTTATTCACACAAGGAGAGCTGTTGGTCAGGCTACTTCTTGTTGCTCTCTAAAATAGTTACTGAATCAACTGTTTACTTCTGGAGGTAAACGTAGATGTTTAACAACCCGTTAAAACACACCAGAATGCAGGAAATGGCATCTACTTTATTCAGCATATTCTGGGGAGGCCCCTCAGACCCCACCAGTACCACCAGTGTGTTCCCCACACTTTTCCACACTTGAGGTTAAATTTGAATAATTGTATCTGCTAAAGACATAATTATATTTATTATGTCTTGACGTACTTTGTAAAACCCTGGAAACAAAAAGAAGGTGGACTTAATTTTCTTTTGTTCATCAACCATAGAATAATGCAGCTGACACAATAATGTCTGAATGCATTAGTCTCATGTGCATTTGTAGCACGTTTGGTCACCATTTTTATTTTCTTTAAAATGTGTGTTCTAATTAAACCCAATTTTACAACCTGTAAAGAGTTTTGTACATTTAACTCTGTCTTCCTGCACACAGCTCTTTGGCTCTGGAGGAGGAGACCGACTCCGTGTCCCAGGACACGGATGAAACTCTTCCAGAAGACGACCGGCCGGAGGACACCAGCGAGAAAGACGCCCTGCTGGGCTTCACAGGGACGCCTGAGGTAGAAGACAGCTTCCTGTAGCCCCATGCAAGAGCCCCGAGGACGACAAGAGTCACGTTGTCTGGCTGAAAGAGAAACCCTGAACCTAACTGTAGCAAAGCTGAGAAGAACTCTGCATTTTCACTAGGAGAACTCAAAAAGTTGTGCATCCTTTGAGTTTATCTGAACTTGAAACAAACAAACAAACACTAAATACGGTACTCTTTGTCTTACGCTTTTGGAATCGTCATAATATAAATAAAAATCCTTTACAATAAGTTTAATCAAAGTAGTGATGCTTGTACTATAGTTACTTTAACCAGACACTTCTAAAGACTTTGCTTCTTTTTTTTGTGAGCTATCTAACAATGTGACTTTTTGACTGATGTAACTGAACACAAATGGGTAAAGTCTTATTTGGTTTAAAAAAAACAAAACAAATGTACATAAAGATAAGAAAATACTGCTTAAATAAGGGCAATGTTCTGCTGTATTATGGCAGCCATGACCTCTTTTAGACTACGACCCCATATTCAAAGTAAATGACGGAGTTAAACTTTAGTTTTGTTTTTTTATATTTACTCTGGGTACCATCACTAGCCTTGCTCTTTTTGTAAAGCATGTTTTTTTAAGTGTAATCGTTCAGAAAAGTCGTCAGATTCCACATGCACTGTGTTGAAATAGGAAATCCTTGTTTGTTTTAATGAATTTTATTATTTTTGTGCGTGCTTAACTTGTAGTTCTGTGCCAGATTTGCACTTTATTTAGAAAAGAAATGTTAAAGATATAAAGTTTATTTCTGTGAATGGTAGAAAGCTAAAGCGCAGAGCCACGAGAGCATGAATGTAAGATTGTTCCTGGTTCTAAAAGTCACATTTCTGTGAAGACAAGTGGCTCTGTTAAGTAAAAATAATGCAAGCAGCATATCACTGCCTTAGCACAAGATGGCACACATGAGTGCCTTTGTACTGACAAATGTTTGTCTCGCAGCTATCTCTGAAGGGCTACTGTACTTCTGTATCTCAGCAGCTTAATGTTTAAATGTGATGCGTTTGTTGTTATGGTTTTCACTTGCGTAATGTTTCGTATTTAGCGCAACACTTAAAACAACACACCAATTATTCCCTGTTGAATCCATCAGTGTAGAAAACACAAGATCACTGTGTCACAAGCTATGGTACCAAAGCTCCTCTTAACGTTTACAAATGTATTTTTACACGTGTCTTTTTTTGTATTCTGTATATGTGTCAATAAAAGGGTATTATCGCAATATTTCGAGATATTGCTAATCTTTTGTGTCACGTTGTTGGCGTTTCAAAATCTTTTCGTTCTACAGTTTATACAGCTTAAAATTAGAAACTAAAAAAACTTGGTCTTGAGCCGTAAAAGGGTAGAGTGCCCTCTCCAGGTCAGGGAGGAGGTCCTGCCCCAAGGAGTTTAAGTATCTCAAAGTCTTGTTCACGAATGAGGGAAAAATGGAGAAAGAAATACAAGAAGGATAAGATCAATAGAAGGATAGATGCTGCATCTGCAGTGAAGCGGGCACTGTACCGGTCTGTCGTGGTGAAGAGAGAACTGAGTCAAAAACCGAAGCTCTCAATTTACCAGCCGATCTAGGTTCCTACCCTCATCTGTGGTCATGAACTTTGGGTTGTGACCGAAAGAACGAGATCATGGATACAAGAGTCCGAAATGAATTTTCTTTGCAGGGTGTCTGGGCTCTCCCCTTAGAGATAGGGTGAGAAGCTCGGTCATCCGGGAGGGACTTAGAGTAGAGCCGCTGCTTCTCCACATTGAGAGGAGCCAGTTGAGGATGCCTTCAGGACACCTCTCTGGTGAGGTGTCCCACCGGGAGGAGACCCAGAGAAAGACCCAGGACACACTGGAGGGACTATGTTTCTCGACTGGCCTTGGAACGCCTCGGGATTCTCCCAGAGGAACTGGCCCAAGTGGCTGGGGAGAGGGAAGTCTGGGCCTCCCTGCTTAGGCTGCTACCCCTGCGACCCGACCCCGGATAAGTGGAAGAAGGACGGATGGATGGATGGATGGATGGATGGATGGATGGATGGATGGATGGATGGATGGATGGATG